CATTAAACTTCAAAATCAGACATGAAAAAGCATCAAGGCTGAAATGATAAAACGTCAATATTTTAGCAGGTCCTTCTTTCCCTCTGTGCATCGTATTGTAGGAGATCAGTTTGGATCTTGATGCAATAAATCAGCACTAACACATTTATATATTTGAAGGGACCATGAGGCTTTGGCGAAGGTGCGAGCTCTAATGAGAGACATTKTAATTTACCTTCAAGTACATTTCCAGTATAAACACAGGACAAACTGAAGACCCTGCTCAGACTGAACACAGGAGGAGCTGGAGCTTCTGGATGGATCCAGACGTGAGAATCAAACACAGCTGTGGATTTATGCCGATCTCTTATGTGGACGAACAGCGAAGACCACCGTGGTTCTGCGTTCCATCGCTGCGTCACTTTAAACACATGATCGATGGAGGAAATCCTCCTCTCAGATCCTCTGATATAAAGAGACTTCATATCAAACTCACCGTCCTCTGTGACTGGGCACTGACTCCAGGGGTCTCCATACTTCACATCCTGTCTCCGTGCCCGCCTAACACCAAACCAGGGGAAAGTGTGATGTACATGTGGTAACTGTTATGAATGTGTGGTGTCCTCATTACCCCTCTGTCCCTCTCTACCTCTTGCTGGTGGGGAAGAACCTGGAGCAGGTCTGTCCATCCCAGGAGCAGTAGGGGTCTCTGGCCAGACAACACTTAGCACAGTCCGTCCCGTACAGCTCGCACCTCTGGAGCCCCAGCTGGGCCACGCTGAGCTCGCCGGACACGTACAGCTGTTGCTGTGGTCGAGACGGACGACACAGAGAGAGATTGATTTTATTGAGAGTTCATTATACTGTTGTAACAACAACACAAGTCTCAACTAAACAACACAACTTTGAACACAACATTTACTGGACTAATTAGAGCCTGAGCAGTGACGGCTGCAAGGATCCTATTGGGTTTCTTATTCTTTCCCCATCCCCCAATGTCAGATTGGTGTCGTCCTAAGCACGCGCGACTTTTGCTGAAACTTGTACGAGAAATGTTCGCATCAGATGGTTTCCGTGCATGTAAACAAAAGTCAGAGGACGCACCCTCTTGGTCGACAGCTTCATGCTCAGGATGGGAGTCGGACTCTGTGGAATAAAAAGAAAAATGGATGAATGTTTCTGTTGCTTCACACAAAAACACACGTTTATACCAACGTGCATCTACAGCTGTTTACGATGAGCCGAACGAATCCACGTAGATTTATTAACASACACATTTCTATGCATTTGATACCAGATTGTGTCACATTTCATTTTAGAAATTCAAGTTGATCACACTGAACATGAAAACTCCTCTTCTCCCTCGTCTTCTTCACAGCCTGGTGTTCAATGTTTGTGTGTCTCAGTTTTCTAACGACCTCAGGAGCCTTAAAGACGCCGTTTGAAATAGTTCTTCACTGAGCTTCGTTCATTCAGTCGCAACAAACCACACAGTCTGAAGACAAAGCTGGAAAATAAAAGGAGGAGTGGAGGCTCATGTGACCGACACAGAAACGGTGACTGATCTTTACCTGAACTGATATTTCAGCCGTGCAGAGGTTGAGGTGAACGTTAAATGCTGCGGCCTCGCTCTGAGGTCAGAAATCTAATGAGTCTCTCTCTCCATCAGGTGGATAAATTACCCCCGAGCTCCATTTTTCTGGACCACTGACTCATTTCATGGCCTCACAGAGGAGAGTCAGTGACCCTCGACCGCTCTGAATGAGCCGAGGGGTGGATGAAGGAAACTCAAAGCCCACAGACCGACCGACTACAGCCTCCGACCTGAAACCCAGTCAGGATCCAAACAACCTGTCAGTTGCTCCTGCAGCTGTACGGTCACYTCCGGCTCTTTACACCCAGAAATGACTCAGTTCCTGTCTCAGTTGTTGGTAAACAACGAACGCCTGGTTTCCTGTTTGTTTGTTCTCGTCCTTCCTTCCCTTCACCTGCACAGTGTTTTGATTCTCTTTCCCTTTTCTTTCATCCTCTCCTTGTTCTTCCTCCTCATCTTCTTCATCTGTTTAAAAACAGAAACACACAAAAATGTGCTTTTCCTATTTTTGTCATCTCTCTGCTCGTCTT